CTGTGCAGACTCAGCTGAAGAACGTGCAGCAGATCCAAGCCACTTGGGCTGCTTTTGCTGCCATTCTTGGAGATGGATCTGTCGTGACCTGGGGCCGTGATGACTTTGGCGGTGACAGCACTGCTGTGCAGACTCAGCTGAAGAACGTGCAGCAGATCCAAGCCACTTGGGCTGCTTTTGCTGCCATTCTTGGAGATGGATTTGTCGTGACCTGGGGCCGTGATGACTTTGGCGGTGACAGCACTGCTGTGCAGACTCAGCTGAAGAACGTGCAGCAGATCCAAGCCACTTGGGCTGCTTTTGCTGCCATTCTTGGAGATGGATCTGTCGTGACCTGGGGCCGTGATTGACTTTGGCGGTGACAGCACTGCTGTGCAGACTCAGCTGAAGAACGTGCAGCAGATCCAAGCCACTTGGGCTGCTTTTGCTGCCATTCTTGGAGATGGATCCGTCGTGACCTGGGGCCGTGATGACTTTGGCGGTGACAGCACTGCTGTGCAGACTCAGCTGAAGAACGTGCAGCAGATCCAAGCCTGCGCCGGTGCTTTTGCTGCTACTATTGGCCATGGGTCGGTGGTGACTTGGGGCTCTGCTGACTTTGGTGGTGACAGCAATGCTGTGCAGGTTCGGCTGAAGAATGTGCAGCAGATCCAAGCCTCTTCCATCGCTTTTGCCGCCATTCTTGACGATGGATCCGTCGTGACTTGGGGCTCTGCTGACTTTGGTGGTGACAGCAGCACTGTGCAGACTCAGCTGAAGAATGTGCAGCAGATCCAAGCCTCTCAGCGCGCTTTTGCTGCCATTCTTGCCGATGGATCCGTTGTGACCTGGGGTGCTCCATCGGCAGGTGGCGACAGTAGCGCTGTGCAGAGTCAGCTGAAGAATGTGCAGCAGATACAAGCATCGCACCGCGCTTTTGCTGCCATTCTCATCGACGGATCTGTTGTAACTTGGGGTGCTGCTGACTATGATGCTGACTATGATGCTGACTATGGTGGTGACAGTAGTGCTGCGCAGGGTCAGCTGCGAAACGTGCAGCAGATCCAATCATCTGAAAGGGCGTTTGCGGCCATTCTTGACGATGGATTGGTCGTGACATGGGGTGCTGCTGACTACGGTGGCGACAGTGGCGCCGTGCAGGACCAGATCAACGGATGAGGGCTCAAGCAGGCTTTAGGGATCTGCACGTGTTTGTACATCGTTGAGCTTCTCGGCGGTGTTCGCGATCTGCATTGCAACTCTCGCAGCAGTACAGAAAGTCGTTTCCAGGCCCGTGCGCAAAGACACCCTGAGCCCTAAACCCTAAACCCAAGCCGAAATCAAAGTGCTGACATGGCCGTCCTCGTCATCGTGCTTTACATCTACGCCCGCTGCCCTTACCTGTGTCCCGATGGCAAGGGGGCCGTAATTTCAGCGAGTCATAAGCCATGTCCTCAACACACCCTTATAATGTAGGGGCTTAAATAATTTCCAGTACTTTGTGGGGCAATTGTAGAATTATACCCCCAAACCTCATTCTTCGACTTCTGCAGTGTATCTGCAGTAAGTTATAGATGTCTTTTGTACATGTGTATATACGTGTTCGTTGAGGATGCATATGTCGTCCTTTGTTTCGCTCTTCGTCGACAGGCTTTCGCCCGCATCACCCCCAAACCTCATTCTAATTATTAAGGCCTCTTTGGTACAGCCCTCCTAGGAGCTGGAAAGAGGAGCCCTTGGAGGAACTTCAAGGATTCGACCAAAGCCCTGAAACCTTAGCACAGCACCCTTGCAGAAGCCTTGACAAAACCTTAAACCCTAAACCCTTAACCATTGCAGAACACATCAAAGGCTGGCACCTAAATCGTTCGCCGCTCTAAAACCCTCAAAGCACCAAGCCCTGAACCCTAAAACCTTGAACCCTAGACCCGAAACCGGTGGACCTTAAACCCTAAACCCTAAACTCTAAACTCTAAACCCCCAAACCCCTAAACCCTAAACCCTAAAAAACCCTAAACCCCCTATATAAACCTTAAACCCCCCCAACCCCTAAACGCCTTAAAGCAACCCGCTCCCAGAGGCTTGCGAGGAGCGAAACGACCAAGAGACGACTTTCGTCGCCGCGCCTTGGGGTGGAGTCTGTGGAGGCTTTAGACTTTTTTGGAAAATTTTAAAAGGGCATTTCTGGATTTTCATAGGGTTGTTTACAAGGGGATGTCTGCGTTTAGGGTATTTAAAAGTTTTATGGGTCACTTTGTTTTGGGGTGGTGGTGTGTTCAGCCTTTTCTTCTCCTTGAGGTTTGTTTGGTTTGGGGGTTTATAAGGGGTCTAGGGTGTAGGGTTCCGGGCATGGGATTCTTCTTTGTTTGCATGTCTTTGTAAAGGGAACTCCAGAAAGTTGGAATCTGGATTAATGGTAGGATCCCCTATAATTTACCTTCAAGGGGTTACGATAATGATCTTCCAACTTTCTGGCTTCTACTGTATGTGTGTGTCCCTAAACCCTAAACCCTGTGCGCACATGTGTTTGGGGTTTAAGGTTGGGAGCTCCGGGGGGTTCGTGGCGTAGGATTTGCCTTGACAAGCTTAGGGGTTCCTTTAAAGGGCGACTACAAAGGCACTATGAGGGTTCCTTTGAAGGGCTCTTTGAGGGTTTGGAGTTTGGAGTTTCCGAAAATTGGGGGTACCTTCTTTTGAAGTGAGTTTCTAGGGCATGGGATTTAGGGTGGCGAACTGTGATGAGGTAGATTCAGGGCGATTCTCGGAGTTGAGCTGAATAATTTCCTGATTACTGGCGCATTGTGGAAGTAAGGCTTTGAGCTTGAGCTCAGGGTCGCGCGAACTTTGGGTGGGTCGCGGGTGCTGTGGATCAGGCCCTCCGTGACCTTCGGGGTTTTGGGGTTTTGCAGACGAAGGGTTTCTTGCCGGTTCTTACCGATAATTTTCGCAGGGTTCCTTAGTCAATACATGGGAGTTTCCGATAATGGGGGACCCTAATGTAGCACCCTACATAGTACGATCCTTATTATAAGGACCCCAAAATAAGGTACCCCCTACTTTTCGGAAGCTCCTACATTGCTTGTACTATGATATACCCAAACCCCCATTCCAGTTGTTAAGCCCCCCCGGTGCTGCGTCGAGAAGTACACTAAAGCGTTCAGGGTTTGAGGCTTTAGGATTTAGAGTGTCCTAAGCAAAGCAACTCATATTGTTGGATACAACCCTAAACCCTGAACAACAAACCGGTATCCTGAACCCTAGGCTTTCTGATGCCCAGTAGTACCCTTATTCCCTTTTTGTATTCCCTTTTTGTAGTCCTAGGTTCCTTATAAAGTTACCCAATACCAAAAAGAGAGGCCTTTTTATTCTTAGGTTACTGGGTATCCTAGGGAAGCATACCCTCAGGGCCCAGGCCCCCAAATCCTAAACCCCAAAGCCCCTAAACCTGACGCTCGAGCTCCTGAACCCTAGGCCTATATCCTAACACCCCAACCCTAAACCATTTTCCCAACACCCGGAACCCCAAGCCCTAAGTCCTGACCCCAGAGCCTTGTATACGTAGGACCCCAAAAAGCACATAAGCAAAAATAAGGCTAGGGATATCCCATATAAACCCCTTATAATGAAGCCCAATACGGTAGGGATATCCTTATAAACCGCTTATGCTTGTGTGCTTTCTTGGGTCCCTATTACACCCAACATGCTCTATATCTGAATCAGCTGAGGCGTGTGTCCGGGAAGTGCCGCACTTTCAGCAGCTCTTTTGACTGCAGCCGGTTTAGGCTTTTGAGGGCTCAGGGTGTAGGGGGTACGACGACTCTACGGATCCATCCGAAAAAATTTGTGCCTCCTACAGTGACCCAGCTTATGCCCAAGAAAAGGAGGCCTTCGGGGTAGCTTCAAGGATAATTTTGAATTGTGGTTCTTGGGGACTTGCCTAGTTGCTTCCTTTGTTGGGCTATGGTTTCCTTTACTGGGTATTTCTAAACATGCGAACCCTAGCCTAAACCCTAAGCCCTAAACCCTGAAACCCCTAGCTCCTAGACGAAACCCTAAACCCTTACCGAGCTAAGTCCAGGGAGCCTGTAGTCTGTGGGCATACTGCTTACCGCCTTAACCCTAAGCCATCCCTAGGCCCATAACCTTAAACCCAAAAGCTTCCTCGTCATTTTCTGGGCCCACCTGATCATCCGGACCACTCTGCTTCTGTAGAAGACCTGGCGAGAAGGATGGAGCAAAGCAGGTGCAATCTGCTTCCAGTTGGCAAGGTCAGTCACTCGCTCTCTGCCTTTTCCTCGACCCGTTGCTGGGTTCCACGGACCTGTGCATGAAGAGGAAGATCTAGCCTCATATTCTTCTTCGCGAGTTTAAGCTGCAAAGACTTCCAATAAACGAAGCCTGTCGCAACAGCGGCGTGCAGTATGGGGAACCCGTGATGACAAGTGAACTGATTTGCGGTGGTTCTTCAGCACTTGAACTTGAACAGAGGATTTGCAGTATTCTGCAGGTAGCTGCCCCACAGTGGAGGAGGGAAGGACATGTTTGAAGTGAGTTGCGACGCATGTTTGCCAGAGTCAATGACACGGTTTGTGCAGGGCTGGCTAGTGGCAACTTCGGGCTTCACAACGAACTGCACGCAGAGCTTTTTGCCCTTTCTGCAGGCAGGCTCTCACACTCGCAGCGTTCGAGACGGCTGAGGCCCTCTGGTCCGCTTTGCAGCTTGAACGATTTGCCGGGCTGGAGCGTTGGGGACTGCTGTCGGACTCCGTCACATAGTCTGCCTGGGCGGGCAGTTTTGAACAGAGGCACACAGTTTTAGCAGCGCCGTCGTCATGCAGAAAAATTCGCACGGAGCTCACAGCTTTGAGAATCGACAGCCAGCAGTGCATGTCAGCCTTTTGTCTTGGGCTTCCAGACAGCAACAGCTTGGTTTTGGAGGCCGGGGCTCAGGGGCAGGGTCAGCATTGACTTGCCTGGTGCCGGCCAGTCAGTTTTTGTTGCAGCTTGCTTCGACAACAGCCATGACCGTAGCCAGACAGCCCGGACACTCCGCTGCCATAAAGCAGACACATGGCTTGACAGCCGCAACCAAGCTGATTTCGTGGCTTGAATGCCAGGACGTACCATCCAAACAGAGGAGGACAGCATCGCAGTAGCCGGCAGGGCATCACAGTCACGCATGTGTTGCGAGGACCAGAAATCTGCCTTCGGCGGTGCATGCCCTGAACGTGAGCAATGCGCACAATCCTATGAAAAGAACTTACAAAAGAGTTAACGGTTTTCGAGAAGGCTTCGCTAGAAGCAGTGGCTGAAATTGATGCGCATGTTGGTGAAGGTTGACAAAACCTTGACAAACCGCATGCATCAAGCCCTCTCGAACCGAGAGCAGACCCTATACAGACCCTTTTCAGGTAAGCCCGCTTGCAAACAACACCCGAAGCGTCACTTCCGAGGCGAAATTCTAAGTCCTAAATCCCAAGCCCAAAACACCAAAGCCGTTACTGCCGAGGCTAGAGCCTTCCACTTTGCGGGCACTGTGTGGCCCGGATTCAACGCCTATGCGGGCTTTGACTTTGATGCGGTCTCGAAGGTTTCGTGTTTGTGTTTCCAGGGTTTATAAGAATGTACCTTGAACCCCAAGCCCTTGACTCTAAGATCTTGCAAGGGTTGTAAAGTGTTTTGGAGGTTGTGAGAGGTTGTGAGAGGAACTTGGAGGGCCGCGCTTGGTTTTCAATTTTTGTAGGGGGTCTTAAAGGGGGGTTGAGGAGGTTGTGTAGATCGGGTTTGGGGATTTTGGGTTTTGCTGGCTCCTTGCGATATTGAAAAGTGTCTGCTTGTGCAGGGAGCAGGTATAAGGCGAGCGCTCTGTTAGTTCCTTCGTTCTAGTCGGCCATACTCGCTCTCCTAAACCGTAAACCCGCAAACCCCCGACCTGTATGCAACGTACAAACCCTGAGTCCCTTATTGCATGTGCGTGGGCTTGAAGAGGTGGAGTAAGAACTTCGAATTAGGTTTTGTAGCAGAGCTGTTTCATTTCAGTGCAAAAGGAGTCTCGTACTTCTGGCTAGGATAATTTTGGGTTCGGCGTTGCTTGAGAAATGCCTTTCTTCGAGGGCACCCACCGATAGTGCTGGATCAACTTTACTCAGATGCCAGTTCAAGGTGTGATCAGGCATCAAAGGTCCGCAACCACTCAGGCTTTGGGTTATGGGGCCCTTGAAAAGGGATTCCAAGAAACTTAGTTGTGACGTCCTCGAGTTTATGTGGAAACCTTGTATACACTCGTAACCTACATTGTACCGACACCCTAGACCGGGTTTTCTTTTTTGGGGATAAAAAATCCCAACAATGCGCATTTTTTGGCTTACCTGGCCATTTCCACCCGCAGTAACAGCCCTTGACTTGAAAGTTGGGTCCATCAGTTACCTAATGGTATGGATGTTGTATGTTGCTGCCAAGCCCTAACTTCCAAATCCCGCACTCAGAAGCACTTAACCCGACGCCCCTACGCCGCGAGCCCTCGGATTTTACAGACCTTAAACCCGAACCCGCAACCTTAAACCATACACCCTCAAACACTCAGAAGCGCCCGACCGACAGTTGGTCAGTTGTAGGGTTTTTCCGTGGAAGCTGACCAGATACCGATTTGGGTTCAGGGTTTAGGGTTTAGCGGATAATTTTCAATTTCCCTAATTGGTTCAATGTAGAACCCTAGCTACAGCTGATATTGCGATGGGTTTTAGTTTCCACTATTCGGTTTCATATACAACCCTAGCTATGAATGATCTCGGGGATTCTGAAATCCACACCGAGTTGAGCTCTGTTTGGGCACTTAGGCCAGCGTTTCAGAGGCCGTCGCTACGGCAAAGGCAGCCCAAGTGGGCGTTGGGATCTGAGGTTGGGTGTTAGGCGGGGAGTTCGGCATCTTCCAGGTTTTTGTAGCTTTGTTGGCCATCTACGCAGGAGCTTCAGAACATAGGGGGCTTGACTACAGAGCCCGGAATAGTAGGAGTCTTCAGATAATCGCCTCCAAGCAACACGGCGCCGCTTGTTTTGTGAACGCCCCCTCCATACACTTCCGGTAGAGCCCTATACAGCCCTCAATACCTTGCTTCTTGAAGTGGTGCGAGAGCCGTTAGACCCTACCCCCTCAGCCCCAGCCGCCGCGGACAAGAGAGGCGTGATCTGCCATCAGGGATAACATCGCTGGTGACGAACATGACGCTCGAGGGATGCAACAATCGCAGCACAGCTTCGCAACCGTGACCCACGTATAAAGCGTGCAGTCCAGGGCACTGGAGCATTGCGAAGAAAGTTTGTATCGATTGGACGCCTTCCCGGTAAACAGGCGGTGGTCGCGCACCTCCGCATGGAAAATGCAACGGTGTCCATGCTGGTTTATGCATGTGATTTTGCAACTATGAATATTGATATTTGTGACTGTGTACACCACTACATATGCTAAACACATAATGTAAGAGCGGGTTTTCATTTTCCCATTAATACGTCCAGCAGAGGCTGGATCAGGCTTCCTTTCGACGTTCTGTAAGCGCTCCTTCTTCTTTATCCCTCAACCCCTGAAGCATTCTAGATTGAAGGCTTGTAGAGACTTCTGGCTTCCTTGAGTTTCGAATCGTACCTGAAGGGTCAGGGGACTTAACTACCGATCGCATCGTGCGGTTCCTTATTATCAACATATTATATATTGTGCCCCGAAACAGTATTTTCAAATTGTCAAGGAATTACGGCCCCTATATTTCCTAAAGGGTTCGGGGACTTTGCAGGCAAGGTATTCCGCACATTGTCGGCATAGTGTTTAGAGTTAGGGCATATATAGCCTATTTGAGTACTTATAGCTTATAACCTCATCAAACCCAACCCACCAATCGCAGGGCTTCAGGCAGATACCAAATCCCCAAATCCTTGGCCCAGATCTTCCCAAAACCCATGAATTAATATGGAGCGTCTCTTAGTTTTGTTCTGCTTCTCGTCTTCCCGCCTCCTGCAATGGTTCTGGGATACTTCTTTGGGGGACAAGCATGGGTAACTCTTAAACCCTGCAAGCAATGACACCAAAAAAAGAACTTGTAACTGTTGGCCGCACCTACAAAGGACGGGAAACTCTGTTAGATGTATGAAGGCCCACACTGCTGATGGACAAAATCCTGCATGACCTTAAGGATCCTAAGTTATGGGAATTATGGCATATTCCTTATAATGGGTAATGCAGGATTTTATCCATCAACAGTATGTACGAGATTCCTTGAAGGATCTCTCTGAGGCCTTTTGAGCCCCTAAGACCCCAAACCATACAAGCGCAAACCCTTGAGCTGTAAGCCCTCAGACCGCCCACCCTAAAACCTCAAACCCTCAAGACTAAATTCAGGATTCTAAACTCTGAGATATTCTAAGATGCTATAGGCCTATATATAGCAGACGAAGTGCAAGGCGACCTCATCATCGCAGAGGACGATTATGGCGACGAGCTCGAAGCTCAGACGATTGCATGGAGGTGAGGCTTCAGGGCGTATGTGCTTTCGGTTGACAAGTTTCGGGTGTTTTGGTTTAGGATTTGGGGTTAAGGCTTTAGGATTTACGGCTCAGTGTGACTAGGAATTCGTTCGTGTTTGTGTTACACTTAAACTCCAGGTTTTGATTAGGATGTAGGGTTAAAGATCTAGGATAAGGGTTGAGGGGTTCCGTTTAGGAGCTGTTGGGGATTAGGAGTTTGAGTTTCGAGGGTCGAGGAGGGTCTGTGGTTCAGGTCTAGTGTTTAAGGGCAGAGGTTCGCGGTTGCGAGATTCGGGGGTTCACGGTTTAAGGGCTTGGGTTTGGGAGTGGAGAGGTTCAGGGGTGAGCCCAACACGCCGGAAATATCAAATATACCTCAAACCATAAACTCAAGCCCCCTACAATTTCAGGTATATCCCTTAATCGAGGGGTATTAGGCTCTTTGGGTGGCTGACGTCCCATGTACATTCCTGCCCGCATGAACTTCAGACCTGCCTGCTCATCAGATTCCTACCTTCATCGGGTTTAGGGTTCACTGTTTCGGGAACCCTAAACCCTAAACCCTAAACCCTAAACCCTAAACGGGCTTCGGGTTTAGGTGCTATGGGATCCTAGGTCCGAAACGAGACTAAGACAAGATTCCAGCGGTCCTCCTGTTTGCAATCTGCAGGAGGCACGTTAATCTTGCCTTTCATAGCCCGGAGTCGTAGCGTACAAAACCAGAAGCCAAAATCCACCTGACTCTAAACCACAAAGTTTCTATACAGGTAATGCTGAGTCTGTAAGGGTGTGTAAACTTCGAAAACTCCGCAGAAGCCTGGGAAACATGCAGTCCTCACCCATAGCGTAGACGCCTAGTTACTTAGTAGCACTACGGTTGATGATATACATCCTGCATTACCCATAATAAGGAATACCATAACTCCCATGTTTAGGGACCTTAAGGTAATGCAGGATTTCTATCATCAACCGTACCACCGAAGATTCCTGATTGCTAACCAGACTAATGCTCGCACATACCTCGAAACCTCATGCTAGTTCCCGAGGTCCCCAGGTTAGGTCCTAAGCCCTGAGTCCACAGCCCCGGGTTGGGGTTTAGGGTTTAGGGTTTATAGGGTTGCAACATGTCGATGGCCGTGAAAGTTTCACTGCTCAGTGGCAAGACAGCGACTGTGCAAGCAGGTCCGGACGAAACTGTGGAGACGTTGGCGCAACGGGCACAGATCGCACTGGGAGTCGGGAAAGGGCGGCTGCTGGACTCCTCCGGAGTCGTTCTGGACAGATACGCGAAGATCAACAGCACCCGGTTTCAGAACAGTGATTCGCTGATCTTGCACGTGAACAGAGTTCAAATTCAGTGCGCCAGCTGTTCCTTCGCTGCAATTCTTGGCGACGGATCCGTTGTGACCTGGGGTGCTTCTGGCGATGGTGGCGACAGCAGTGCGGTGCAGGATAAGCTGAAGGATGTGCAGCAGGTCCAAGCCTCTGATGGTGCTTTCGCTGCCATCCTTGGCGATGGATCCGTTGTGACCTGGGGTAATGCTGACTATGGTGGCGACTGCAGTGCTGTGCAGGATCAGCTGAAGACTGTGCGGCAGGTCCAAGCCTCTGCTGGTGCTTTTGCTGCCATCCTTGGTGATGGTTCCGTTGTGACCTGGGGTAACGCTGACTATGGTGGCGACTGCAGTTCTGTGCAGGGTGAGCTGAAAAATGTGCAGCAGGTCCAAGCGACGGGAAGCGTTTTTGCTGCCGTTCTTGGCGATGGATCGGTTGTAACCTGGGGTCACCGCTGGCTCGGCAGTGCGGCGCAGGATCAGCTCAAAAACGTGCAGCAGATCCAAGCTTCTAATCTTGCGTTTGCTGCCATTATTGGTGATGGATCCGTTGTGACCTGGGGTCATGCTGACAGCGGTGGCGACAGTAGTGCCGTGCAGGGGCAGTTGAAGAATGTGCAGCAGATCCAAGCCTCTTCTGCTGCTTTTGCTGCCATTCTTGGCGATGGATCTGTGGTGAGCTGGGGCCGTGCTGACAGTGGTGGCGACAGCAGTGCTCTGCAGGATCAGCTGAATAACGTGCATCAGGTCCAAGCCACCAGCGCCGGTGCTTTTGCTGCTATTATTGGCGATGGGTCGGTTGTGACTTGGGGTCATGCTGAGTTTGGTGGTCACAGCGGTGCTGTGCAGAGTCAGCTGAAGAACGTGCAGCAGCTCCAATCTTCTGACAATGCATTTGCTGCCATTCTTGGCGATGGATCTGTGGTGACCTGGGGCCTTGCTGCCTATGGTGGCGACAGCAGTGCTGTGCATGGTCAGCTGAAGAATGTGCAGCAGATCCAAGCCAACGGCAGTGCTTTTGCTGCCATTCTTGGAGATGGATCCGTTGTGACTTGGGGTCATGCTGAGTTTGGTGGCGACAGTAGTGCTGTGCAGGGTCAGCTGAAGAATGTACAGCAGATCCAAGCCTGTAACGGTTCTTTTGCCGCCGTTCTTTGCGATGGATCCGTGGTGACCTGGGGTCATCTTCGCTTTGGCGGCGACAGTAGCTCTGTGCAGAAACAGCTGAAAACTGCTGGATCTGTACCTTCTTGACTTCAGCTGAACTTCTCCGCCCCTAAACGCCTTGCCAGCAGCTCTTGCCCTCCGCAAAATCATCGGGTTGGGGTCTGAGATGATGAGGTTTGCATCAATGGTTATCATACTATCTTAGGGGAATTAAGAATAATTTGTAATCTGTGGTTCCTTTAATCCCTAAGAAACAGCTAAATTTTTTTATTTTTTGCTAGGGGTTTAAGTTCAGTAGAGCTATGAGGGCCTAAGTATTTACCAATAGTGTTGCTTTATGGGTTGCTTTTCAAGGGGTCTATGAGAATTACGATAAGGGGTATTATCGGGGTTGAGTATAGGGGTGTAAATAATCAATCACTGATACTATTTTGGGGTTCTTATTAGAAGTATAGTATAATGGGCCCCAAAACCCTATTCTAATTATTAAGGCCCCTATAGTACCTCCCTTGCAGAACTATTGTAAAGGAAGATGTCCAAAACCTTATTCCAAAAATTCAGGGCCCTGTGGTCAGATACTGCAGTTTTTAGACGGGGTCACAACGTTATGGTTGAAACCAAGGCCTCTGGGAAGAGTGCCGGGTTGAGGAACTTCAGGTGTCACGATTACGATGGGGACCTGGGCGTGTAGAGTAGTACTCTTTATGGTTCCATATATGTAAGCATCGTATAATGTATCCCACCACCCGATTCTACTTATTTAGGCCTCTACATTTCCCGCAGACGGGCAGTGCCCAGACTTCTCCGTCAAACTTTGAACCCGTTTGGGATCTAGGGTGTTGGGTTGGGGCCAAACCCTGAGCCTAAACCGCATAATATAGGGGCCTTAATAATTACCAACACTGTTTTGGGGGGTTCCTTCCTGTTCATTATTATCATCGTAGTAGAATGCGCCCAAAACCCTTTTTCAGATTAATAAGGCCCGTATATTATCCCTAAACCCTGACACACCTCCAACACGAAATTCGGAACCTCACTCCTGCTCGAAGCCGTAGATCCGGTGGGCCATCACACCCTCTGATGCCCTAAGAAGCGCTGGTACCATACGGGTGTATTGGGTATAGTAAGGAGCCAGAAATAGCACCCTACAGAACGCTAGGAAGCCTTGTGTGCAGCCCAGGTATTTCGTGCTTCTGTCAGGCTCTGTGCCTTGGGTTGCAAGCCGAATAGGGGTTTGGGAGGCTGTATATATACGGCTTTAAGGGCTTTAAGGCTGTTGGAGGTTGGCAATTGGATTGTATATAAGGCTTTGGGCTTGGGGCTTATGGTTAAGGGTTAGGTTTATTTTTTTCGATGCAATAGGGGGTTGAACAAGGTGGCTTCATTTAGGGTGTTTTGCTGTATGGTTCTCTTTCGGTTCTTGGAAGGGTTCTATGGAGGGTGCCGCGAGGCACTTCACGGTTTGGGGTTCCCGGGTTCCGCGGCGGTTTTGTGTTTATGTTTACGGTCTCCTAGAAGAGACCGAAAGGATGGACAAGGGCACCCTTGTAGATGGGGATACCCAGACCTTCCAAAATCCCTTAATTAAGGAATATACCCTAAACTATAGTAGGATCCTTAATATGATTTAAGGTATATTCCTTAATTAAGGGTATCTGGAAGGTCTGGGTACTGGGACCTTGGGAAGGTGTTGGGTTTGCGGATTTTGGAGGTTGGAGTTTGGGGCTTCAACCCCTAGGCCCTAAGCCCCCAAATTTGAATCCTCAACACTGAGGGTGTGTAAGGAAAGCCTAGGGTGCAGAGGAGCAGGGTTGCCGAAGCCGCTTCAAGGTCACTTACCGGTAAAACGCAAGCCTTCAGGAGCTGCATTTGGGATACGGTTCCTGTGAGGGGCATTGGTGGGCATATGAAGGCTTGGACTTCTTTTGAGACTTGGTGCGTGTAAACTTTGGGTCTTATCATTGATGGGACTACTAAGAAAACCCCTGCCTCATAAGATAACTAGGTGCCTAACCAATTACCAACACTATTGTGGGGGTTCCTTATTATAATTATAACAAAATGGGCCCCAAAACCCCCACTCTAATTACTCAGACCCCTATATTATCCCTTGTGGCATGTGGGTTCTTCGACTGCTTGAAGTAGAGCACAGAAAGTCAACCTGTTTCATCGGGGCATCTGGTGTCGTTTGGGTCTGTGTTCAGGGAGCCCGCATGTTTTGCATTGCTTTCCAGGGCTTTGTCGGGTTTGACTGTGGGACTTTGTTGTCATGTAGACCCTTGATTCACCTGTTTCTTGAGGGCCTTGATATTTCGATGCCTATCTTCAGCGATCAGCGACAAGCCTGGACATGTCGTACTTGCTGGTCTGCCGTCAGCAATCAGCAATCGAATTCCAAAAAGCACAATCAGCTCGCGTTGGCAGACTCGTCTCCAGCCTCCGACCTTCTTACGGTTGATGACATAAATCCTGCATTACCCATAATAAGGACTATACCATAATTCCCATAGTTTAGGGCCCTTAAGGTAATGCAGGATTTATATCATCACCCTAAACCCTAAAACCCTATAGTCCCTTAAAAGGAGCCCCTTAGAGGTACCCCTATAGATCCCTTTAAAGGGAACCCTAGGGATTTTTATCATCAACGGTATCAGGAGTCAGCAGCATCTGTCTGGCCACCGCGAGTCGAAACTAAGATTCAAGATGTGAGTGCAGCGTCAGAGACGGTTCGGAAAGCGGCGCAACATCACACATATGGGTGGTTGTCAAAAATATGGTACCGTTTTGGATCCCTATCATAATACGGCACCTAATATTTAGGGTACCCAAAAAGGGACCCTAATTTTGACAACCACACATATGTGCCAAGCGGCTCTGGAGTCCAGCAGACGCAAAGCTGAGGACAAGGCAGCAGCTTTCCATCACTTGATGTCATTGGAGTGCGAGAGCCGAAGTGATTTGTCGCAGCCGCTGCTGGCGCTCCTGGCCGCCGTCTTCTGCCGAGGAAAGAGGGGCATCTGGGGTGCAATGACGGCTAGTTGGTGGTTGCAGGAAAGCCCTAAACCCTGCAATCCTTTCGCGACCTTCGAGGGTTTAGGGGCTTTGGGGGGCTTTTGGGGTTTATAGGGCTTATAGGGCTCACTGTAGGTTTTAGAGTTTTGGGAAGTTGGGGCTTTGGGGTTCTTCGGGCTTATAGGGCTCAGGGTAAAAGGAGGGACCCTTAATAAGGACCCCTAGGCATATACCCTTAATATAGCTATTACATACCCATTATATAGCCCATTATAGGGTAGGGGTTTCCATTAAGGGTCCCTCCTTTTCCCCTTTGAGTAGGGCTAAGGGGTTCTATCTCTAAAACCTTAAACCCCTAAACCCTAAACCCTAAACCCTAAACCCTAAACCCTAAACCCTAAACCCTAAACCCAAATCCTAATCCCTAAACCCTACGGTAAACCCTGAACCCGAGACCCTGATCCCCAACCCCGAAGCCCTAACTTAGATAGTGAACGGGAGAACTTTGAACATTTTGGCCCTATATATATATATATATATATATATATATGGGTAGTTGTGAAAATTAGGGTCCGTTTTTGGGTCCCTATCATAATACGGCACCTCTTGTTTAGGGTACCCAAAAGGGAACCTTAATTTTGACAATTATCCATATATATCTATATATATATATATACACATATATTTGCACTATCTTAGAAAGTTTGAACTTTTTGGGGCCCGCTTGTTGAAGAAGAGAGCTAAGCCCTTTCAAGAAATCCCCCTAGGTGAGCGTTCTGCTGGCGCGGACGGACGACCAGGAGATTCACAGAAGAAGTCTTGTGATGGGGGCTTTAGGGTTTATTAGAATAGGGTTTATGGCCCATAAGACTATCATTATAATAAGGAGCCCCCAAAATAGTATTGGTAAATGTTTAGGCCCCTACAGTAGGGTTTTAGAGTTTTGGGAAGTTGGGGCTTTGGGGTTTAGGGTTTTGGGGTTTGGGGGTTAGGGGTTTAGGATTTAGAGTTTGGGGGTTGAGGGTTGAAGGGGCTATTCCCTTCGAAGCTGTCCGGCAGGTACCCATGATCGACGTGAACATGAAAACGTGCCGGCACCTTGTTGCAACTCGTCTCAAGCCTTTTGAGGGATGTCTTTAGAGGTAGGCGACCTCTTGTTTGTGACGCTGCGTTGCAATGGAGCGGACCTGCCAGTGACGGGATGGGCTGTTGAGCTGCCGGGTGAAGATGTGATCCTGAGTTCCGGTGTGGAAGCCCTGGCGGACACGCCTCAGAAGATCATCGCGAAAGCTGGGGATCAGGACGTGGGATTCGTTCGAGTTCCTGCGAGTGCGGCTTCTACTTCGAAGCCTTCGGGGTGGAAGGGAGCTAAGACTGCGGACCTCCCGTCTTGGGGCGCAAGCAAATCGGCATGGAAGAAGGCAGCCCAGTCGAGTCTCGAGAGCAGCGACGCCGAGGTTCCCGCGCCGAAGCCAACTGCCACGAGCAAAGCTGCCCGGCTGAGCCGGGACCTGAAGGGTCTCGACTCTTTCCTGGGGGGCGACGACTTCGAGGACGACGAAGAGGAAGAGACCGAGGACGACGGCGAAGGAGTGGAGTTCTTAGCTCCGGGCCAAAGCCGCAAAGTGGCCAAGCGCAAGAACTCCAAGAAGAACAAGAACTCCGGCGACGACCTCAAGGAGCTCCTGCAAGTGAGCGCGGCCTGAGGCGGCGACACCAAGGACCTCCTTACGCTCTACCTCCTGAAGCAGCTAGTGGGGCAAGACAAGAAGAAGAAGAAGCGAGCCAGCGCGTCCTCGTCCACGCTCCTTGGTGGCTCAAGCTCCGAAGACACGGACTCCGGCGACGACGACCTCTCGGGGCGGGGAATGCGAGCAGTCAGCACACTTCAGAAGTTGCATGCCAGGATCCTCAAGCGCCCCAAGAAGGTCTGCGAACTCTTCGAGGAGGAGATGATCCGCGAGCTCGGCGTGGTTCCCGGGCAACCGTGGACTGTCAAGGACTACCTCAAGAAGCAGAGCTGGGGCCGGTTCAAAGGCCTTTACCGCACGGCGGTCATGGACGCTGCTGTTTACGAACTCCTTCGATCGGGAAAACACGAGATCGCTGCAGCCCAAGTTTGTCAGAACCTCAAGGCCAAGATGCAGGCGGTGCTCCAGGGCGGCGACTGGGACACCGCGTGGTTGCTGACCGGCTTGCCCGATCCGCTTCATCACAAGGAATGGGCCGGATCGAAAGAGGAGATGACAGTGGTTTCGAGCTACATCGAAGCGATCACGAAGCTGAAGAAGCGGATCAAGGACGTTCACCAGGCCGGGGCCGCAGAGGACGAGGAGGCCCCCAGCGGGTCTCGCAAGTGAATCCCTCGAGGGCGATGCATGGGCGAGCTCTTCGTTTAAGACGGCCAGCTCGTGAAGGACAGAATTCGAGATTTTCTAGTTTTGTGACTTGGTTTGAGAGCGTCCAAGGTACTTTGCCGGAGCGGTCCGGCGATGCAAGTTCGTTGTTCCCATGCGCGCTGCCGTATCCTGAAGTCTTGCGGATCGAGACTGTGGATAGGGAAGCCGAGGCCCCGTTGATCTGGGCGAAGACGCTTCTGAACGACTTCGTCTGTTGGTCCAACTTTGTGGTGCTCGGGCTGCCCGGCAGTGGCAATGAGCCGCGAGCAACTTATCGAAGTGCAGCAGAGGCACGGGCCTTTGCCGATCGGTTGCTTGGCGAGACGGTTGAATTTGCGAGTCTTGACCTGGTTTTGGGTCGCCTGGAATGTGAAGGTAGGAGGGCGACTGTGGAGTCTTTACTTCGACAGGTCGAAGGATTCGCCGACTCGGGTTACTGCGAGTCTGTTCAGGCTGGAGCGTCCTCCCCTTCTACGGCATTGCCTGTCACGGCAGAACGTGTTGCTGTGCCGGAGAAGGCGGGCTGTGTGGATCCTCTTGACTGGCTCCCTCCTGAAAAAGCTCGCGTCGTGGGGAATCTGGAGCATTTGCGCCAGGAGCCTCACTTGTGGGAGGATATCTGTGTGGCTTGTCATCGAGTACCTGCCTCGGAAGAGGCGGCCTTAGCGGAGAAATTGTTGGCAACGGACATGGCCGTCTTGATCCCTGAGGCCGAACTACCTCGAGATCAGGCGGGTAACCTCATGCAGGGTGGCTTGTTTTCAGTGGGCAAGAATGAGAGCGAGGACCGGCTTATCTTCGATCGCCGCCCTGAGAACGCGACGATGCCAAGGCTTGACTGGGCTGCACTTCCTTCGGCAGCCTGCTTTACTAGGATGCTTCTAGGGCCCTCCCAGTACTTGCGCGCTTCAGGGGATGACCTTCGGAATTTTTACTACACTCTCCGACTTCCTCCAGGGTGGATAAAGTTCAACGCTGTGGGCCGCAGGGTCGACGCGGATGTGGTCAAACGTCATGGCCACGACCCGCGAGTGCCTCATCGCTTGTGCTTTCGAGTCCTGGGATGGGTGACCGTAACGGGTGTGCCATCGCACAGGCTACGCACGAGGCTGTCCTCCAGAAGGGCGGCTTGCTCCGGCCTCAAGAGACCTTGCGCTACGGTGAACCCGTACCTCAAAGTGATCTTTGGCAAGGTGTCTACATTGATGATTTGCTCGTTGCCTACCGCCAGACGCTTAACTACCCGATCCCGCTAGACGGTTCCTTCAAACCCCCCGCCGTGCAGGACACAGACATTGACATGAAGCTCATGCGCGCGGCCGAGGAGGTCTACGACAAGGCACTCCTGAAGAGGGCCGTGCACAAGGCATTTCGAGGAGAATGTCATTTCAAAGCTTGGGGTGGAGAAGTAGACGGTGTTCGAGGGCGTGTAGGGGCTCCACGGGAAGTTCGTCGTCAGGTTTGGTATTTGATCGCGGAGGTCATTAGGCAGGGCTGGGCTAGCAAGGAAGTGCTCGAGAAGATCAACGGGTTCCTGGCGTTTGCTTTCCAGTTTCGCAGGGAGTTGTTTTGCTTGCAGCATCGCATCTACACCTTTGTCAGCAGCCTACCGAAGAACCGGTGGGTCCGACTCCCCGGGCACATCGTAGATGAACTCAGAAGCTTGAGCATCCACTTAGTCTTTGCCGAGTGGGACATGCGCCGGAGGCTTCACTCGTCGCTCTTGGCGACGGATGCGACGCCCACTTCTGGGGGTGCCGTACGGACCTCGATACCGGGTTTATTGCGGGATGAGCTGTGGCGTCGCTCCGAAATCAAAGGCGCTCCGGTGCGGCTTGACAGGGCACCTGGGGCCCAGGACTTGAAGGCGCCCGACGAGAGTTCGACTTTTGCCAGTGCGTGCTCGGAGAGCCTTCCTTGGAAGGTCACGGCTAGCTACTCCTTTAGACAGACCAGCCACATCAACTTGCAGGAGGCTCGTGCTCTACGCCGCGAGCTCCGGAAGCTCGCGAGCGCCTACAACAGTGGAGGGCTCATCCAGCTGTGCCTCAACGATTCGTTGGTCTGCGTGTATGCCTTCAGCAAAGGTCGATCATCTTCGCTTAAGCTCAACTCCATCCTTCGAGGCTTGCTGCCCTACACCATTTTCGGGAACATATCGTATGCCCTCTTGTGGGTTGAGACAGAAGCAAACTTAGCCGATTGTCCTTCCCGTTTTCGAGAACTCCCACCTCCTCGTCCTGTGCCAGGTTGGATGCAGCTCTATGGTGTGGGGAAGGAGGGCACGTTCGTTGGACTCGAAGTGTTTGCGCAGCAACCGCGAGTTACCGCAGCTCACCGTGAGGCTGGACTCGTCATGGAGGAACCGCTCGAGATCAGCTGCAGTGAGGAAGAGCTGGAGGCAGTGATCGAGCTTGTTCGGGAAGGAAACTTACAGTGGGTTTGGTTGGGGCCGCCGAGTGCTTCGTTCTCCCCTTTGCGTGACTTCTGCCCAGGTGGACCGCTTCGGCCGCGAGAACGTCCTGAAGGGGACGAAAGGCGACGGGAGGTTCGCTGGGGGAACCAATGCTGGAGACGATGTCTTGAATTAGCTGCTCGGGTAGCTCTTGAAGGCGGCTACTTTGTGCTCGCGCACCCGAGCAGCTCGAAGGCCTGGCGCTTGCGCGAGACACAACAGTTGCAGCATGTAGGTCCTGTCCAACTTCTGCAAGTTGACATGTGTGCATACGGAGAGTGTGGGAGTGTCGTCACGCCGGGGCGGGGAGCTACTGCTCTGCTCACCAATGCTCCTTGGATTGGGTCTGTCCTCAAGCGATGCCCTGGAAATCACACTCACCTTCGTGTTCATGGGGGTGCTCGCGCTCTCCGAGCTGGGGTGTATCCTGCGCGCTTCGTGAAATCCATCGCTGATGCCTGCAGTTGCTGGGCGTCCGGGAGGTCGACTGCGTGAGGTGACCCTCACACCACAGTACCGGAGGCACTTGCATGAAGCGGGGGAGTGGGCCATTGGAGCGGTGCGGGATCTTGGCGGGCATCTCTCGTCGCGGAGCTCTTCGAGAACAGTAGATGTGTGGTTGGAGCGGTTGGTGGATTGGGCTCATGGGCATGGTGAGAAACTGTACTGGACCACACTGGGGGTGCTTAGCATACAGCGTCGCTTCAAACTTTCAGCGCCTCTCTTACGAGGCACCTGGGCGGCTATCAAAGCTTGGCGGCTTCTACAACCTATCCAACCACGGGTGCCTATCACATATTACGTGCTTCGGTGTGTGCTGGTGACCTGTTTGGGCGTTGCTGCTTCGTCTCCGATCGATCTTCGAATGCAGTGGGTCTCGGTGATGCTATCAGTGTGGCTGGCCTTTGCGGGCATGCTCCGGCCGGGAGAGGTGGATCGCCTTCGAGTTCGTGACTTTTGTTTTCCTGAAGACGCTGAATTGGCGGAGGGCATAGGGCTTGTTATCAAGATTCAACAGGCGAAAACAAGGAGGGTCTGGGCCAATCAGTTTGTCATCATCAGAGATGAACGCCTTGTTCGTTGGCTGAAGTGGTGGTGCGAGGCACTGCCGCCGAAGACTCTCTTTCTCCAGGTGGGCAAGCGGCGGTGGGGTCTGATGTTCCACGAAGTGCTCGAGAGACTTTCACTGGGAGGCTGCAAGCTGACGCTGGCATCGCTGAGGGGAGGTGGTGCGTGTCACCACTTCAAGGTCAATCAAAACCTAGGCATCCTGCAGTTCGCAGGCCGATGGCGACGACCAGAGACACTTCGTCACTACCTCCAGGACGCACTGGCTATCCATTCTTTAGCGAATGCACCTAGTGAAGCTCGTGAGTTGCTTGCGCTTGCTTTTTCGCGGATCTCGGTGCTTGACTCTCCACCGCAACGGGCTCGCTCAGTTCTCCTAGGGAGGTGAAGCCGATGTCCGAACGATTGAGTCGAGCGCTCAAGGAGTTAGCGGAGGCTTTGGAAGAGTGTCGGGCTCACTTCTTCATCGAGGCGTTCGTCGAGCTCTTCGGTTTCCGGCAGATCAGGGACACCTGGAGCTAACAGGCGTCCCCCTCCCAGTGTGGGGTGAGTGCGCAAAGTGGCATCGCCCAACGAGGTGCAGTGGCTCGGGATCGCGCGGCATTGGACGACCGGAGTTCGTGGGATACGTGGCGGGACCTGCCAACACAACATGGAAGGCATTGGAACGGGAGTTGCCCACAGGCCAACTCTCCACCTCACGCGCCCGACTAAGGCGCGTAGACAGCCGGGACCAAGCCGAGCTGCTGTGGCGGCAGAGTTTCCCTCAGGGGCGGATGGCGGAGCTCCGCCTATGAATCTGAGTGACGCTGCGGATGGTATTATGGGTGTTGTGAAGGAGACGGCCACCTCGTTAGGTTCTGGTGCAGTTGAGCCTGGCGGCTTGAGTGCCGCACAAGTCTTGGAAAATCCCGCGGAGGCCGCCCGGGCCGCCCGCTGGAGAACCACCGACCCAGTCAAGAAGGTTACGGCAGTCCTTGCTCGGATTTCCCAAGCTGTGCAGGGGCTTTGTCTTTTCCCAGCACAAGGCCAAGGCGTGGAGCAAGGCCCTCGTCCCTCTCGAGCTCTTCCTCTTCGCCGGCATGACGCCCAACCAGTGAACTCAACCGCCTTTCGAGCTCACTGGCGATGGCCCGCGCGCTGGAAGTGGATGTTAGGGATCCTAGTGGTCACGACAATCTTCTGCCCTCGCATCGTAGCCTTACTCATTGCACTCACTATCCGGATGGTTTGTCGTGCAGTGGTTAGCTTGACACTCCACATCTTCAAAGAGCTCTGGACTCAAGCATTTGTGGCAGCGGCGGAGGTCGAGGACACTTTAGCTTCCTGGCTCTATGAACAGGTGGGCCTTGGTATCCCCCCTGTGAGCCCGGCACCGCCGCCACTACTGAGCAATGGAGGCGCAGGGAACCCATCGTCGGGCCCCCTTGTCGTCCAGCCCCACCCAACCCGCCCTGTTGACATCGTCATGTTAGTGCTGCTCGGGCTGAATCTCCGTCGTGCTCCACTGGTGGGTGGGGTGGGAGAAGCCAGGAACTGATATGAGATGGTCTGCGCGGCCGCTTTTGACTTCGCCTACGGCGATTTTGCCTTTGAAGGGTTCGAGGGCGGCCTCACCGAATGGCTCTAGTTCGTAGCCCTCGTCTGTGTGTGATCTCGATTGACGCTCAACCCTTTGTCAAAAGTGTGCGAGGGCTCTCTCCTTTGCATCAGAGGTGTGCTCTCAGGAGGGAATGAAGGGGCTATTCCCTTCGAAGCTGTCCGGCAGGTACCCATGATCGACGTGAACATGAAAACGTGCCGGCACCTTGTTGCAACTCGTCTCAAGCCTTTCCACCGCCTCCCCACCGCCGAAGCCAGGAACTGATATGAGATGGTCTGCGCGGCCGCTTTTGACTTCGCCTACGGCGATTTTGCCTTTGAAGGGTTCGAGGGCGGCCTCACCGAATGGCTCTAGTTCGTAGCCCTCGTCTGTGTGTGATCTCGATTGACGCTCAACCCTTTGTCAAAAGTGTGCGAGGGCTCTCTCCTTTGCATCAGAGGTTCGGGGGTTGAGGGTTTAAGGTTTAGGGTTTAGGGCTTGATTAGGTTGCACGGTTTAATTCGATTTCTGTGTTTCGGCTTTAGGATCTGGTCTAGGGTTTTTTTAACAGGGGTTGCGGGTTCAGGTTCTCTGAATAGGTCTGATCATGATTTTAAACGGGTTTGTAGGGTTGCAAAGGTCATTATTAGTGGGATTCAAGGGTTAATGGGTTCAAAGTGATTTTGTGAAGTGCAAAGCCCCAAGCCCTAAACCCCTTAAGCCCTAAAGCCTGAAGCTTTCATAGTTCCGGAAAGTCCCGTTTGGAGTTTCTGATGGGTGTGGCTTGTGGCTCTGCGAATCCAGAGATGTTGGCAGTTGGAGGTTTAGGATTTGCAGATGACGGTTCAGGGTTCAGGTTTTGGGGATACTTCTTTCTTTTTCCACCTACTGGAAGATTTCATCCTTCAACACCTGTTTGAGGGTGCTGCAAGAACTTGATGCGCAAAGTAAAACCCCCCTCCAGGCAGCCTCCGCACTCTGGTGAATCCCTGTCGGACTCTGCAAAACTTTATGGAATGCTGGGCCCATCATTCTTGGCAGTTTCTCCACGAGGCTAGCTCACTCACTGTTTCACCGAACGGATGGCGCGGTGGTGTCACAGATTCCAAAGCAGGTCAGCTAACGTGAAACGTACAGATGGATTGATTACGTCCAGGTTGTTTATATTTGTTATTGGAGCCAGGTAATAAACAATCGTTGCAAACACCTCCGAAAGAGCTTTTCTACGTCCTGCAATAACATTGTCAAGCCCTGCGTGCTCAAAACACTTTGAAGGTCTCCGCTATAAACCTCCCTAAAATCCTCAACCCGAAACCGGCTGTAGCTGTCATTAGAAACAAAAAATCTTAAATCGTCCGTAACAGGCTCTCGAAAAATGACCCTAAACCCTAAACCCCAAAACCCCAAAACCCCAAATCCTAAACCCCTAAACCTCCATAAGCCCCAACTCTGAACCCTAACCCCCCTACAGTAGAAGCCAGAAAGTTGGAATATCATTATCGTAACCCCTTTAAGGTAAATTATAGGGGATCCTACCCTTAATCCATATTCCAACTTTCTGGAGTTCCCTATAACCCCAAGTAATCTACCTTTTTAAGGACTTATATAAAGAAATCATATTAGGGAACCCAAAAAAGGCCGTCTCCCAAAGCAGGACCCACGGCCGAGGGCCTCCAAGGTGCCAGACTTCACGCCCGCGACTCCCCTCGAGGCCCTCTCTGGGAGGAGTCGCCCTCCAAGGGCGCTATAGGCTTCTTAGGGTTCCTTTAAGGGTGCTAGAGGCTTCTTAGGGTTCCCTTTAAGGGTGCTATAGTGTTCTATCTTAGGGTTCCTTTCAGGGTGCTATGGTGTTCTACCTTAGGGTTCCTTTCAGGGTGCTATAGCGTTCTATCATAGGGTTCTCCAGGATCCTATTAAGGGTGCTATAGGATTCTATCAGAGGGTTTCCTTTAAGGGTACTATAGGGTTCTATCGTAGGGGTTCCCTTATTGGAGGAGTAGAGGTGTCAGGGTTTCGGGTTTCTGCGCTGCGTGGGGGTCTTGACGGTTTTGTCGGGTTGGTAGCAGATGGTATTTTTCAGGGCTGTTAAAGGGCTTTTGGGGGGTTTAGCAGTCTGCAGTGTTTATGAAATAGGATTCTGTAGGGCTTGGCTGTCTGAGCCTGCGCTGTAGACGGGCTTCAACTACACGGGTTTCAGAAGATGAAGGGTACTTGTCTGCCTGTCTTAGGACACTAAACCCTAAACCCTAAATCCTAAACCCTAAACCCTAAAGCCTGAATCCTAAACCCTAAACCCTACACTACCCTAAGTCCTAAACCCTCAACTTCAAATCCTCAAGCCTGAACCCTAACCTAAACGCTCCAAGTAAGCTCCAACTCCTGAATCCTTTTTCAAACCCGGGGGTCTAAACCACAAGCCCCAAATTTAAGCCGCAAGTCTAAGCCCCAAGAGCCTTTATCGGAGACAAGAGCGTTAGCGCGAAAAGGTGAGTTGGGTAGCTTCAGACACTGTGATGATGAGGCGGCGGGCCAGTTGCTAGAAGACTGATGTTGCTGAGTTCATCCGACAGGGAATCATTCCCAAAGGTGCTGAATGACTGGGTGACTCCATGAAGTCACTGGATGAATGTTCTAGGTTTAGGGTTTAGGGTTTCAGACACGGTGATCACCATGACGACAGCTGGGGTCAAGAGCAGTTTCGAAACTCTGGGGCCTCAGGCTTTAATGCTGCGAGCATGAAAGGAGCCCGCAAAGCATCTTGAAAGATCCCTACAGAACCCTAGAATGTCAGAAAGAACTGCCCGCTCTCCAAGCTGGTGTTGACTTCATGGGTTCTTTGAGGATTCTTTCGGGGTTTCTGGGGACTTGCTGCGTCAGATGAACTAAAAAAAGGGACATCATGGGTATGGACCCACTTCGAAATTGGAGCACTACATCTAAACCCTAAACCCTGAACCCTAATACATCCTGCCAGCTGTAGTGGCCCTTGATTCCTAAAATCTCAATCCCAAGGGCAGAATCCTGCTTACTAAGCACAAGCCCTCCCTAAACCCGCCTTTTGCCCTTTGTTCTAGAGCCGAGCAGCCTCCTAGGGGCCTTAATAAGTAGAATAGGGTTTTGGGGCCCAGTATACTATAATTACAATAAGGAGCCCCCAAAATAGTATTGGTACTTATTCAGGCCCCTAAAGTACAGCCTACAGTGACACCCGAACCTACTCTCACGGACGAAAGCCCCGATGTACGCACTCGCCAGGATTGTAATGCGCAACTTTAAACTCAAAACCTTAAGCCCAAACCCCTAAACTCCGAACCCTAAACCCTCAATCCTAAACCCTACACCCTAAACCCTAACCCCTAAACCCTAAACCCTAAACCCCGAACCCTAAACCCTCAATCCTCAACCTTGTGAATCTGCAGCCTTCTGCAGCAGGCGATGCCGGAGAAGCGTGGAACCAAAGAGATTCTTTGACCGCATCCGGAAGGGTTGGGGTTTAGTGTTAGGTAGGGTTTAGGGTTTAGGGTTTAGGGTTTAGGGGTTGAGGCGTTGTGGCCCGAGTACAGTTGTGAGTTAGGCGTCGCCAATTTGGCGTGGCCTTCCCCACCTGTATATACCCAACCCCAGCAATTTCGATTGCGCTGGTGCTGCGCCGTGGTGCGCTCTCTGTGGGCCTTCGGCCTTCAATAACGCTGCCATTTGATTGGCCGTTATTTATTGACTGCGGTCAACTGCTGATTGGGATCAGCTTTGGAGAGGGCGCTCCTCTCCCTTCAAGGGCCTCGCCCCGCTGCTTTTAAATAAGCCGTGGCTTGCTGCCTTTGGTGTATTTTATTCTGCCCTTCGGGGTGTATGACTGCTCGTCGCATCTACACTCCTATTCTGCCACTGGCCTTGGTTGGGTTTTTGCTGATCTTCTGGGGAAGTTGCCAACCTGACCAGGCGCCGCCCGCGGAGCCCAGCGTGGCACCGGAGGGCCCGCAAGAGGCGATCGCAGGCGCGTCGCCGACTACACCGCGGACGTGGACTTCCAGGCGATCGGGCCCTTCTTCAGGCCCATCACGGGAGTATGGCTCCAAAGGCTTCTTCAGGTGGAGGCGCCAGCAAGTCGGGGAAGCAAGGTGGTGGCAAAGGAGAGCCCCCACAGCAGTCGAAGGTAGAGTTCGGACTACCAGCCGGAGTGGTGACGGCGGTGCAATCTATTTCCTCGCGGGCAACCCACGATCTATGGGGTCAATCAGCTTTCGCTGTCGAAGATGCGTCTGCGGAGCAGCTTGCCCAACGACGCGCCAATGCCATCTCCAAGCTATCAAAGCGCCTCACGGGAAATGTGCACGCCAAAGAGGAGCTTGGGGTGGCCCTGCGCCAGTGGTGTTCGACCTTGGGACTGCACCTACTAGGCCTGGTTGGAAGGGTTCGCGCCCTTGGGAGCACCATCGACGACGACACCTCCACTGCCATCCAAGAGATGCAAACGGCTCTGCTATCCCAACCTTCGGCAGCCTCCTCGGAACGAGTTGCTACAGCACAAGCATCCCTGGGAGCTATTTGGGCTGGGGCTCAGGAAGCCGAAATTTTCGGCGATGGCGGCTGCTCTCCGGGCTTTTTCGGCCTCAGGCGCTTCGGCAGTTACTGCGGAACTCTCTGGCGGTCTCCTACGTGCAGGACCAGCGGCCTCTCTCGACACCGCTCTGGGACGATCAGCTGCCCTGTCAACGCTGCCTGCCTTGGACTCTTCGGGCGATTTGGGCTCCGAAGCGAGCTTCGGAATGACAGCACCACCAGTCCGAGCGGGCGATGTGCAAGGGCATGCGCCGGCTACGAACCCCACCGGCGCCTTGGGCACGGCCCCGCTTGCAGCCTCTGGGCCTGTCACCAGCACGGTGAGCGGCCGTTGGCGCAAGCGCAGTGGTGGCAACAGCGAGCGCCCAACCAAAAGCCCTCGAAGAACCCTGCTACCGGATGCCGATGCACCATGGCCACGTGTCTCCACCGGCCTCACACCGGATGCAGCACCCCGCCCTCGGCAAACAGAGGTCGAGGACGAGGAACCGGAGATGCTCCCGGCCCTACGACACTCTGCGGATGTCACGTGGCAGATGGCATGGCTGGCTCTCCTTCGCTTTGCGGTGGAGCAAGGCTCCGAGATCGTCGGCGACCTGACGGTGTGCGACCAACAAGGAGCGGTCCTCCCACTGGCTCAGGACCCGCAACAGTCGAGCTGGTTCAAGATCGCGCGGAACAAGTATGGCAGCTTTTGGTGAGCTCCGTGACGAATCCACAGGAGGACGCCTTGCCCGTGCTGCATGGCGACCTGCTGGAGGTTCTGCACAAGCTTCGCTCCTGCCCCGAAGCACTTCCTCATGTCCGGCAAGGGTTACTTGTGGCTGCCCATGTCTCCGTCGGTGGACTTTTGGACCCTTTTGCATATGCACCTGCCACGGCACAAGAGTGGTTGTTCCCCAGTCTGTTGGCCGAGATGGGCTGCCCTCTCAAAGGGTTCATCGCACTGGCAGCATCAGCCAACCCACATGTGCAGGTGACTTTGCGGCTGCCGAGCCCCTTTTCTTCCAGAAGCCCGGTGACCGCGCAGGAACCAGAGTGAGCCCGGCCCTTGCCAGTGCTGCTGATTGCTCAGCTGTTGGTAGAGCGGTGAGGTATGCACGCCCATATCTCACACGCTCTGCCCTCGGCTCTCTCCTGGAAAGCTGCTGTGTTACGCTCTTTCAGGATGACTGCTGTGGCTATGTGAAACGACTGAGCCTGCCTGCAGAGCCTTGCACCCTTGTCCCAGTGTACCCAGCTGACCGTGATCAAGTAGGATGGGTTTGGTCTCATCTTACGGTGATTAAGATCGGCCTTTTCCTCGGGCGCTGTGGAATACTCTGCATAGCTCTTCGTAGAGTTGTCGTGGTGACCGAGCGTTTTCACTTCACTCATGGTCCGCGACTGTCTTGGCGGCTATCATGGCAGCTAAGCTGTACCATCTCGGCCACTGCGTGGTGGGTTGCGGCTACCTTGGGGCCACCGGTCTCCATGCTTGCCTGCGCTCTCTGCAGCGAGTTCCTCGCCTTTCTTCCGGAGGTCGTGTTTTGGACTTTCTGCCGACTGGAGTTTTGCTTTGACTCTCTGCCGCCCTGGCCCAGGGCTCCTCTTCTGGGGGACTCTTGTCTCCCTGAGCAACGCCAAGCGTCTGGGGTCGTTCCAAGGCTTGCAGGGCATAAAGTTTGTGGAGCCAGATTTTGTGTCAGACCAAGAGCGCCCAGGCCAACACGTCCTGATATCCGGGTCGCCCTTTTCCTGCTGTACCTTACGGTTGTTGATGGGGTCTCTCTTCAGCTCGGTGCGGGTCTCGCTTCCTCCTGCTGGCTCCATGCCTCTGACGCGGTCCAGCTGCATGCGCACGGCTTCCATGAAGGCCTCCCCGTCCTCAGTACGGGGCCTGTCCTTCCTACACCCACCGCCGATGAAATGTGTGAGGTGTACCCTGTCGGCCGCACTGGGAATCTCTTGTTACCACGTACTGATAGGAGTCGCAGGCATATCGCTGTATTCGTGGGCACACCACCTGGTGCCCCGATTCTTGAGCCTTGCCCTATCCCACTCCTCGTGGACGAGTGGCTGCATGGGCCCCTACTGCATGAGCGTCTTGCTGCCACCCTTGGGTTTCCGGTAGGGGTTTTTACTGCCTCCGCTATTAGAGGTGTTCTTCCGGGACTGCCCAGTGAGCAAGTACTTCTATCCCCTGTTGCATGCACTTGGCGGCAGGTGTGGTTGCCAGTTGACATGCGCCAGCTTGGCGGTTGCATTTGCATGCTCTTATGCCCAAGAGACTCCACCTGCAGAGCCATAGCCCAACTTGCCATCTCTGCACAATCATTGCAAACTGAGGTCGATCTTCTTCTTGCCCGGTGCCCGTGGGGCTGGTTGACTCTTGTGTCCCAGCCCCTCTTCCTGCAAGATGTTGACACTTTGCAATTCCAGCTCGGGCCGTCGGCTGGAGCGCTGGGTGGGCCCATAGGTGCCTCACTGGACCCGCCATTGTCGTTGTTTTCGACCATGCAGGTCAGTCTGCCCTCTGCCCCGCTTACCCAAGAAGCTTTCCCCGGTCACTCTCACAACCAGGCCATTCTCATTACCCCCAACGGCCTCGTGTATGTTGAAGCCCCGGTTTTTGCGGACGCAGCCACTTTCAGGCGCATCGTCTCGACTCGGGCCTCAACCAGTGCCACTGGAGGAATCATGCGCATTTGGCATCCTCTTCCTTCTCTGCCCCTTGTTCAGTTTTTGGAAATACACTGCGTGGGCGAAGAAGTGCCGTGCATCTTGGATTTCCGTCCTGTGGGGTGGCGTCTTACTACGGTGTGTCTTACACCGGCAGTCAAACGCAGCCGTTGCCGCTGCCTCGACCAGAGATCGTAACAGCCTCCCCCTGGAATGGGTTGAACAATGTGCTAGAGGGGGCTTTGGACTGCTCCACAGGGAGTTGGCAGTTCTCCCTGATCAGGTTATTTCGGGGAGTTTCCCTCTTGTCATCATGTTCTTCCCACATGTGTTCCGCCAGGACTCATCCTCTTCGTCAGAGGAGCAGGTTGGAGGCTGGGAATTTCGGCGCTACAGCATACCCTGTTGCCCTCACCTGCTCGCGCTGCCACTCTTCCAGCATGCACGGGGATTTCGCCTGAGGCCTTTCTTGCTCCTTCAGGCTTGAGCCCCCCAGAGCCGGCTGCTGAGCCCGGCTCCGACGGGTCAGCAGCTGTGACTTTCGCTACGTGGCCGCAGCACATCCTGGTTGGCCTTTGGCTCATCCATGACCTTCCGCTTGGCCGCGGGGCAATTTCTGTGTGGAGTGTTACTCCCCTACTTCTGTTAGTGTGGTCTAGCACTGCTGTTCAGACCCGCAGTGAGCCCTCTTCCCCTCACGCCGTTGTGGTCGCAGCCTCCAGAGCCCCTGATCGTCATGTTGCTGCCCCTGCAGGGGTTCACGCTCATCTCCAGGCTTCCTGGCTTCAAGTAGGGGACTTCGGCGACGGGACGCTGTGGCAGACGCTCCCGCTCTCAGGATTGAGTTTTTCTATCACTTGCCGGTTGTGGGTTCCGGGCTCCTCTGTCCGCATTGAGTTCGCCAACACAGCTAGTGCTAGAGAGTCCTCTGCGGAACTCTATCGTCGAGCTATCCAGCTCGGCCGCCCCCACATCGTAGCTGCATCTGCGGGCCCCACACACGATGCGGTACATCTAGTCTCCTTGCCACCCAGGAGCTCTACGTTGACCGTTCTTTTTGATGTTGGGTATGACGTAGTATGCGTTGAGCTCCCCCTTGATTATTCTGCCGATCAGGTCCTGGCGGCCGCGCAAGGTGCCGCAGCTTCGACCGACATTCAAATCCTCAAGGGTTCGGCGCATAGGCTAAGACAGGGAGATGTCATTAAGGTTGTGGTTAACTCGGCTGCCCAAACTCTTG